AACTTATTTCCCGGGTAACCTCCATTTCAGATGGAGGACTGATGTCAACTGGCAGTATTTGCACAGTTGGACCGAGTGGGGGGAAGTCTTGTGTCGAAGGGGACCAGCTGAACTGTACCTTAAAATGTTCTGTCCAACGTTCAAGACGACGTTCCTGAATTTGAATAAGTGTGCCGTCAGACTCCTTAATTACCTCACTTACGCCTACTTTCCTTGGTCCTGTACTCTTAATTAAACGAAAAAGATTGCAACTATTACCAACAGCCGCAGCCTTCTCCATCTCTCTATACTGTCCTACCCACCACTTCTCGCGGTTATTCCTCACTCTTGATGAGCTGGCGTTTAAGGGATTTGCGCTCCTTGTCGCATCTTGAATCCGAGGGAATGGCTTGGCGAGCGTCCATCAGGGCAACCGAGGTTGAGGAGATCCATCGTTTTTGCTTTGATCGTGCGCCAGAGTTCACCGTTGTTTTGATTGAAATTTGGATCGCTTCCTTGATTGCCGACCAGTGTTCGCTGAGTCCTCCGGCTGATAGTTGAGTTGAGAGGCGATCTGATAGTTCCGCTCCGAAGGACGATCTGCAATTGTCGGTGATAGTGTATTGTGGGCATCTGTTTTCAGCGGCTTTTCTGCGGTTGTTTATCAGGCGTAGGGAGAATCTCGCTCGTTGCAGAACATGTTCCGTGTCTTCGGGTGTTGACCAGTAGGAGCGGCAGTCTTCAATGGATCCTCTCCAGCGTTGACTGATGGCGATGTGGTCGATTTGAGTCCAGTACTGTGAAGAAGTTGGCGGTCTCCATGTAAGGCGGTGCCGGCGACTATCACAATGTCCGTTGACCGAGACCTTTGGAGCAGTAGAGAGGTCCTTGTAGAATTCATCCTNCGGTGCATACGCGGATACGACGAATAAGCATCGACGCTTCGTTCTGTAGCTGTTGACGCGCACTGGACCATCCAGACGTACGGCGCAAAGTCGTTTGTTACCCGGGATCCAATCGAGAAGTGAATGCTCGACCTT